GGTGGAGGGGATCCCCATTACCTGTAAAGCTCTTTGAGTGGAGTGTCCAGAAAAGCACTATATAAGTGTAAGCAACTATTATTATGTTATTGTTGAGAGAGTTGATTCTGACTCGCTCCTTATCGGCCTGTTATGTTAGCTGAATTAACATCACAGCCCCCTAGTTCACCTCTGCTTCAGTCCTGGACCTGCCAGCAGAGCCTAGGTGCTGCAGCTCTTGGCTCTTGCAGACAGAGCCAGCCTCCTGCTCCAGCCTGGCGCTGCGCTCTCTCAGAGTGAAGTGGGCGCCCAGCAGTGTTTCTGTACTGGAGACCACTGCTGTCTAAGGAATAAGGGTCAGAGTGAGAGATCTCCAGCAGTCTCATTGGCTGGTGTCTGTTATTCCTAGAGCACTTTGCTTTGGCGTTGACCTACATAAAGCAAGTATAAGAAACAAGACTCTTCCTTTCTGGGTCACCTCCACATGAATTCTCTTGGCTGTGAGCAGAGGTAATTGGGACTTCAGCTTGATTTTAAAACTCACCAATATAATACCTCTCTTATTCTTCTTAGCCTTTTCAAGAGATTATGGACACAGTTCCAGAATCTTTCCTGTATGGTTTTCATTGTACCTCAGTTTTCTGTTTCTTACACATACTTGCAGTGCGCTGCACTTACCTCTGAGTATTCCTTGCCAGATCTTGGCAGCAAACCCAGAAAAGTAGGACTTCTTAGTTTTTGCCAGAATGCTACAGTTTGCCATGGTGATGCAATGCCTCAGCCCTGCAGAACTAAAGTATGGTAATTAAACAGTAAAACTGTTTTTCCCACAATCTTCTGTCGGGGTACTTACAGCAGAGTGTGAAGTTTAATTTTGAAATCTGTTATAAGTCTGCAAGTGCTTTGAGCATATTAATATGTACTATATGTACTGTAGAGTTTCACAAAACAAGGCATTTTTAAGGAAAAAGTTGAAGTGCGAGCCTCCAGCTGCAGTGCTGTGGTGTTCACGAGGGGGCGCATCCTAGTTCAGAAGGTAGGACCAGAGTGACCAGAGTCAGCTTGGCCATGTGCTTTCTCTCTCCCAGACTCTCCCGGAAGACGCGGTCGCGGTAGGCAGTCCTCGCTGGGTGTCCCAGTGGGCCAGCCTGGCGGCCAACCATACCAGACCCGAAGCCGATGACCCCCGGTCCGAATCCCCAGCTTTCGCAGCCCAAGAGAAAGGTCAGTGCAGCAGGGAAGGCCTTTGAATTCACTTCAGTTTAGCTCGCATAAGAGGACATACGGTACCCTCTGTACTGTATTTTCATCACGTTAGCAATTAAGAATTCTGCACTAGACATACTGTATATTGTCACAGAATTTTGAAGTGCTTCTGTGTGTGGGGCTCCCAGTGAAGCACGTGTTCGTCTCTTAAACAGGTTATTTTCATCACGTTAAGCGAGGATGTGTCAGTGCCTTGCCAGCGCTCAGCTGCCGCTTTGTGTTTCCGTGTTTAGAAGCCGACGTCAGCGAGTCGGCAGTCTCCATGAAAAGCACGACCTCGGCCGCCTCCACGTCCAGCCACGGAGAACGGCGCAGGAGGACCCTGCCCCAGCTGCCCACCGAAGACAAGGGCCTGGACAGCGCCAGGGCCAAGCCCGGGAAGAGCTCCACGGCGCTGGGCCCGAGATCGGAGATCGGGGAGAAGCAGGACACCGAGCCACAGGAGAAGGAGAGCCAGTCGTCTCACAGACGGAGGGAGACGGACCGGGCCAGCCGGGCCGCTCACAAAGGTGCCAGCGGGAGCCCCGCCGCTCCAGAGGCCGACAGGGCTGATGTGGGGACCTCGACCGTCAAGCAAGCCTTGGCCAAGCTCCAGCAGCAAGAGCAGAGGGGCCCCCAGCAGCAGTGGGGCGGTTCCAAGCCGGGCGCCAAGCCTCCAGGGGCGAGCACCGAGAAGAGGCTGCACAGGCACGACCCCGGCCACAGGGAGGAGGACAAGAGGAGGCGGGCCGAGGACGGCGCCGGGGGCCCGCCGGGCCGAGGGGGAGAGAGCGAGAAGTTGGGCAAGCCTCTGGTCAGGCAGGGGAGCTTCACCATCGAGAAGCCCAGCTCCAACGTCCCAATCGAGCTCATCCCCCGGATCAACAAACAGATGGGCTCGTCCTCTCTGGCCCGGGAGAGGAGCGACTCGGTGGGCAGCTTGGACACCACCCTGCTCCTGAAGGACACCGAGGCCGTCATGGCCTTCCTGGAGGCCAAGCTGCGAGAGGAGAACAAGCTGGAAGGCGGCGGCGGAGGAGCTGACCCCCCCAGCTATCCTTTGGAGGACTCCATCTCCCCGGAGTCAGACATAGACACAGCCAGCACCATCAGCCTGGCTGCCGGGGACGCAGACCGCAAAACGGCCCAGAAGCGCCGCACGCTGACCAGCCTGCAGAAGGAGAAGAGCACCGTCGGCTCGGCCTCCAAGAGCGCCGCCAGCGCCCGCGAGCGCCTGGAGAAGAAGGCCAAGCTGCGGCCTTCGGAAAGCCGGCCAGAGGCCCGGCGGTCGGTGCAGCCCGGCTCCCGAGCCCGGCAGGCCTCCGTGGACCTCACCGACGACGACCAGACCTCTAGTCTGCCGCACTCCACGATCTCGGACATCCTGTCGTCTGACCAGGAGACCTACTCCGGGCGCTCGCACGGCCGGGGGCAGCTCACCTCCACCGACGAGCTCTTGCACTCCAAGCTGGAAGCTGGCAAGGCCGCCAGGACCAGAGCTCCGCAGGCCCCCAGCACGGGCCCCGGGAAACCGGCCACTCTGCCCCGGCCCAGGCCCACCAGAGCCTCCCTGCTGCGCCGCGCCCGCCTGGGGGACACCTCGGACAACGACTTGGCCGATGCCGACAAGGTGTCCGTGGCCTCCGAGGTGTCCACCACCAGCTCCACCTCCAAGCCTCCGTCCGGCAGGAAGACGCCCTCGCGGCTCGACATGCTGGCGCAGCCCCGGCGGACGCGGCTGGGCTCCCTGTCGGCGCGGAGCGACTCCGAGGCCACCACGGGCC